TTTTGGTCTTTTTGAGACAGGGTCTTCCTGTAGCCCCAGCTGGCCTGGAACTCACCATGCAGACCATGCTAGTCTTGAACTCACAGAGATCCGCCTGACTCTGCTTCCCAAGCGCTGGGACTAAAGGCGTGCACTACCACGCCTGGCTTTTAAATTCACTAAATAATCAAAACTTTACAAAGCACTATGGGTTAAATATGAAGTGTCTGGACAATTGTTTTGAAACACTGTTCTGCATCTGGTCCGTTTTTAAAGGTTCTGAAAACATTCACAAAAATAACTTAGCAACTTAGATAGAGGTCAGTGGGAAAGGTTTTTGAAGCATTTTGTCCCTGGTGTCTGCAAACCTCTTTCTCTGGCTCTTGTCTGCTGTGAGCTGAGAGCTTCTGTTGGTACTCTGCTGCCATTATGTTCTATCCAAGTGCATGGAATCACAGGGTGATGGGGTTGTGGACTGAATTCTTTCAGACTCAAGGCAAATCCTTCCTGCCTTGTGTTATTTAGGCCATGTATATTCATAATAGTGACACAAAATCTGAGACACACATAAAAATATATATAAAAAACCACTAGGTATTTCAAACTTCATTTATTTTGCTTAAGAATGTCACAAACCGAGAGAAGAATTATTTGCCAAAAGTTGCAAATTTTTCAGGCAACAAAGACTGGGAAGAAGGCTGCTTGTAACTCTGTTAGCCAAAACAAACTGTTTTCTCTGATCTATAAAAGGTTCCTAGAACAAGAACAAAGAACACATTTTCAAATTCTGTTACATGAATAATGTACTAATTATTTTTAAACTCTGGCATGTAATTACCTAATGTAATTAAGAGAACTTATTAATTTTACCAAATCTTATTTTTAATTAATGGTAAATCAGACAGTCAATGCATAATTACATGAAAATTATTAACTTCATTTGTCAATGTCCCTTTAAAAAACAATCTATGAGTTTTTCTTAAGCAGACATAGCAGTGTACCATATAATGGAAAATAAAAATCCAGTATTAGGCATCGACATGGATGCGTGTAATTCAACTGCATGTGGTTGAGGTTTACTATGGAGATTTTGAAGATACTAAGAGGGCATGACCCATCATCAGACCTAGTTGAAATATATAGTATATGGTCTTAATTGGATTATAAAGCAGGTAGCAGAAACTGAGTGCTGATAAGATGCTGCTGACTTGGTGTCTCCACTAGCTTTCATGTAGCTCTTGTCACCACAGAACAGAAAGAAATAGAAGCCAATTGAGATTGTCTGAGCCTATGAACAGAATTATCTGGTAATTGTTTACTTGTGGTTATAAAATTCCATTTATGATTTCAATGAATCAAATGTGCTTAATTCCATACAGAGGAGAAACCATGTAGTATCACCCTTTGGCACAATGTCCCAGGTAATGCACAAACCTCAACTACAATAGTAGAATGAAGTTTTATTGGTACAATGTATTTATGACCTAAGGTGCTCTCAGCTTAAAGCTCTCCAAAGC